ACACACTCACAGAGAGACACACACAGAGAGACACACACAGAGAGACACACACAGAGAGACACACACAGAGAGACACACACAGAGAGACACTCACAGAGAGACACACACAGAGAGACACTCACAGAGAGACACTCACAGAGACACTCACAGAGAGACACTCACAGAGACACTCACAGAGAGACACTCACAAAGACACTCACAGAGACACTCACAGAGAGACACTCACACAAAGACACTCACAGAGAGACACACTCACAGAGACACTCACAAAGACACACTCACAGAGACACTAACAGAGACACACACACAGAGACACTCACAGAGAGACACACACAGAGAGACACACACAGAGAGACACTCACAGAGAGACACTCACAGAGAGACACTCACAGAGACACTCACACAGAGACACACTCACAGAGACACACTCACACAGAGACACACTCACAGAGACACACTCACAGAGACACACTCACACAGACACACCCACAGAGAGACACTCACAGAGAGACACTCACAAAGACACACACAGAGACACACACAGAGACACACACACAGAGAGACACACACAGAGACACTCACACAGAGACACTAACAGAGACACTAACAGAGACACTAACAGAGACACTAACAGAGACACACACAGAGAGAGACACACACAGAGAGAGACACACACAGAGAGACACACACAGAGAGACACTCACAGAGACACACTCACAGAGAGACACTCACAGAGACACTCACAGAGATACTCACAGAGACACACACACAGAGACACACACACAGAGACACACACAGAGAGACACACACAGAGAGACACTCACACAGAGACACTCACACAGAGACACTCACACAGAGACACTCACAGAGAGACACTCACAGAGACACACACAGAGAGACACTCACAGAGACACTCACAGAGACACTCACACAGAGACACTCACAGAGACACTCACACAGAGACACTCACACAGAGACACTCACACAGAGACACTCACAGAGACACACACAGAGACACACACACAGAGACACTCACACAGAGAGACACTCACAGAGACACTCACAGAGAGACACTCACACAGAGACACTCACAGAGAGACACTCACACAGAGACACTCACAGAGACACACACACAGAGACACACACACAGAGAGACACTCACAGAGACACACACACAGAGAGACACTCACAGAGACACTCACAGAGACACTCACAGAGACACTCACAGAGACACTCACACAGAGACACTCACAGAGACACTCACAGAGACACACTCACAGAGACACACTCACAGAGACACTCACAAAGACACTCACAGAGACACACTCACAGAGACACTCACAGACAACACTCACACAGAGACACTCACACAGAGACACTCACAGACACACTCACAGAGACACTCACAGAGAGACACTCAAAGAGACACTCAAAGAGACACACTCACAGAGACACTCACAAAGACACACACAGAGACACTCACACAGAGACACACACAGAGACACTCACAGAGACACACACAGAGACACTCACACAGAGACACCCACAGAGACACTCACAGAGACACACTCACAAAGACACACACAGAGACACTCACAGAGATACACTCACACAGAGACACTCACAGAGAGACACTCACACAGAGACACACACAGAGAGACACACACAGAGACACTCAGAGAGACACTCACAGACACACTCACAGAGACACTCACAGAGAGACACTCAAAGAGACACACTCACAAAGACACACACAGAGACACTCACACAGAGACACACACAGAGACACACACAGAGACACTCACAGAGACACTCACAGAGACACTCACAGAGAGACACTCACAGAGAGACACTCACACAGAGACACTCACAGAGACACACTCACAGAGACACTCACAAAGACACTCACACAGAGACACACACACAGAGACACACACACAGAGACACTCACAGAGAGACACTCACAGAGAGACACTCACAGAGACACTCACAGAGACACTCACAGAGACACTCACACAGAGACACTCACAGAGACACACTCACAGAGACACTCACAGAGACACACTCACAGAGACACTCACAAAGACACACACAGAGACACACTCACAGAGACACACTCACAGAGACACTCACAGACAACACTCACACAGAGACACTCACACAGAGACACTCACAGACACACTCACAGAGACACTCACAGAGAGACACTCAAAGAGACACTCAAAGAGACACACTCACAGAGACACTCACAAAGACACACACAGAGACACTCACACAGAGACACACACAGAGACACTCACACAGAGACACACACAGAGACACTCACACAGAGACACCCACAGAGACACTCACAGAGACACACTCAGAGACACTCACAGAGACACACTCACAAAGACACACACAGAGACACTCACAGAGATACACTCACACAGAGACACTCACAGAGAGACACTCACACAGAGACACTCACACAGAGACACACACAGAGAGACACACACAGAGACACTCAGAGAGACACTCACAGACACACTCACAGAGACACTCACAGAGAGACACTCAAAGAGACACACTCACAAAGACACACACAGAGACACTCACACAGAGACACACACAGAGACACACACAGAGACACTCACAGAGACACTCACAGAGAGACACTCACAGAGAGACACTCACAGAGAGACACTCACACAGAGACACTCACACAGAGACACTCACAGAGACACACTCACACAGAGACACTCACACAGAGACACTCACAGACAACACTCACAGAGAGACACTCACAGAGAGACACTCACAGAGACACTCACAGAGACACTCACAGAGACACTCACAGAGACACACTCACAGAGAGACACTCACAGAGACACACACACAGAGAGACACTCACAGAGACACTCACAGAGAGACACTCACAGAGAGACACTCACACAGAGACACTCACAGAGAGACACTCACAAAGACACACTCACAAAGACACACTCACAGAGACACTCACAAAGACACACACAGAGACACTCACACAGAGACACTCACAGAGAGACACTCACAGAGACACACACAGAGACACACACACAGAGAGACACTCACAGAGACACACACACAGAGAGACACTCACAGAGACACACACACAGAGAGAGACACTCACAGAGACACTCACAGAGAGACACTCACAGAGAGACACTCACAGAGACACTCACAGAGACACTCACAGAGACACTCACAGAGACACTCACACAGAGACACTCACAGAGACACACTCACAGAGACACTCACAAAGACACACACAGAGACACACTCACAGAGACACACTCACAGAGACACTCACAGACAACACTCACACAGAGACACTCACACAGAGACACTCACAGACACACTCACAGAGAGACTCACAGAGAGACACTCAAAGAGACACTCAAAGAGACACACTCACAGAGACACTCACAAAGACACACACAGAGACACTCACACAGAGACACTCACACAGAGACACTCACACAGAGACACTCACACAGAGACACCCACAGAGACACTCACAGAGACACACTCACAAAGACACACACAGAGACACTCACAGAGAGACACTCACACAGAGACACTCACACAGAGACACTCACACAGAGACACACACAGAGAGACACACACAGAGACACTCAGAGGGACACTCACAGACACACTCACAGAGACACTCACAGAGAGACACTCAAAGAGACACACTCACAAAGACACACACAGAGACACTCACACAGAGACACACACAGAGACACTCACAAAGACACACACAGAGACACTCACACAGAGACACACACAGAGACACTCACACAGAGACACACACAGAGACACTCACACAGAGACACCCACAGAGACACTCACAGAGACACACTCACAAAGACACACACAGAGACACTCACAGAGAGACACTCACACAGAGACACTCACAGAGAGACACTCACACAGAGACACTCACACAGAGACACACACAGAGAGACACACACAGAGACACTCAGAGAGACACTCACAGACACACTCACAGAGACACTCACAGAGAGACACTCAAAGAGACACACTCACAAAGACACACACAGAGACACTCACACAGAGACACACACAGAGACACACACAGAGACACACACAGAGACACTCACAGAGACACTCACAGAGAGACACTCACAGAGACACTCACAGAGACACTCACAAAGACACTCACACAGAGACACTCACACAGAGACACTCACAGACAACACTCACACAGAGACACTCACAGAGACACTCACAGAGACACTCACAGAGAGACACTCACAGAGAGACACTCACAAAAAGACACTCACAGAGAGACACACTCACAGAGACACTCACAAAGACACACTCACAGAGACACTCACAGAGACACTCACAGAGACACACTCACAGAGAGACACTCACAGAGACACACTCACAAAGACACAGACAGAGACACTCACAGAGAGACATTCACAGAGAGACACTCACAAAGACACTCACACAGAGACACTCACACAGAGACACTCACACAGAGACACTCACAGAGAGACACTCACAGAGAGACACTCACAGAGAGACACTCACAGAGAGACACTCACACAGAGACACTCACACAGAGACACTCACACAGAGACACTCACACAGAGACACTCACACAGAGACACTCACAGAGACACACTCAAAGAGAGACACACTCACAAAGACACACTCACAAAGACACACTCACAGAGACACTCACAAAGACACACACACAGACACTCACACAGAGACACTCACAGAGAGACACTCACAAACAACACTCACACAGAGACACTCACACAGAGACACTCACAAAGACACACTCACAGAGACACTCACAAAGACACACACAGAGACACTCACACAGAGACACTCACACAGAGACACTCACAGAGACACACGGCACGCGTGTGCGTGTGCGACACGCGTGCGTCTGTGTGAGCACACAACAATCCACCACCACCCCCCGGCGTTCTCACCTTGAGAGACTGCCTCTTGGTCACGTAGTTGGAGGACAGCAGGAGTTTGTCGTACTCCTCAAATACCTGCACGGCGTCCGGGCCGGCAAACACAACACGACAACACGGAGAAAGATCAACACCCACCCCCGCCACCGCCGCCATAGCCTCTTAACGGCACTGCCGGGGGCAAAGTGCTGTCGGGAGCGAGCAGCTTGCCTACTGAGGCTGCCGGCGCTCCGGCACAGGAGGAGGGTGGTGGTGTGGTGGTGTGGCCGGCGCCACCACTACGCCCCGGACGCCTTTAACGGTCATCTCAACGATTTACTAAAAACGCCGCTCGCGTGAGGCCGAGTCGATCTAGGGGGAGGCCCAGGAAGGGTTCGGGCAATCGTCATCGCAGGTGTTGGTCGCCACTAAGCGGCGGTGACGTCACCGCGGCACTTTGCGCCAGGCTATGTGCACCTTGAGGCCATCACGTGAAGTGTCGAACGCCCGCTGGCCAGGAGGTCACGGGGGCAGACCCGGCAGGTGCCACGGGTCGACTGGCCGAGATGACTGAGCTGATGCACCACCTGTGCCCCCTAACTGTGCCAACCTGATGCGCTTTAGCCACCCGGCGCTCCGCTCGTTGTTGTGAGCGTCGCTCCTCCGCCCTCCGTTGTTGTTGGAGGGCGACTGCCTCCAACTGCCCAGCAGCGGCGTCCTTCACGAGCCTCCTCCACAGAGGCCGATCTTGACACCGCTGGTACCGGTCATCGGCAAGTCCACTCAGCTCCACGTCCTCCCGTACCACATCACTCCATCTCTTCTCTAGCCCATGCCGCGCCTGCTTAGCCCCCTCGATCCGGCCGAACAAAAGCTGTTTCGGCATGCGGTGGCTGGGCATGCGGGCTACATGGCCCAGCCAACACAGCCTTGCCTGCCGGAGGAGCTCACCGATGGGATTTTGTCCAGATCTTTCGAGGGTTTGTGAGCTCCTCACACAATCCACCTTGCAGGTTAAACCCAGGATGAATCGTAGGCAGGCCAGCCTAAATGTTTCTAACCGGCGAAGATGTTCTAATAGAGGGGTCCACGTTTCGCAAGCGTAGAGAAGGGAGGGAATGACCGTGGCCGAGAAGACCTGAAGCTTAGTGCGGAGCGACGGACCAGGTAGCTTCCACACAGCGTTACGCAACCGATGAAAAGATATTGCCGCTCGACTAATTCGGAGTGAGACCTCTGCTGTTAAACTGGAAACGGTCATAAGCACATTGCCCAGGTATGGGAAACTTTCCACTCTCCACAACTGCCCCATCACCAATTGGGAGTTGTGGGGGTGGAGTGTCCAATGGTACAAAATACCCAGGCAGGTGCTTAGTTTTGGTGGGGGTGATGGTAAGGCCCCACCTCTTAGTGGCACGCTCCAGATTCAGCAGCAGCGCCTCCAACTCCTCCTCTGAGCGAGCAGCAATTACCAGATCACCGGCATACATACAGTGAGGGAAAACAGTATTTGATCCCCTGCTGATTTTGTACGTTTGCCCACTGACAAAAAAATTATCAGTCTATAATTTTAATGGTAGGTTTATTTGAACAGTGAGAGACAGAATAACAACACAAAAATCCGGAAAAACGCATGTCAAAAACGTTATAAATTGATTTGCATTTTAATGAGGGAAATAAGTATTTGACCCCTCTGCAAAACATGACTTAGTACTTGGTGGCAAAACCCTTGTTGGCAATCAGAGGTCAGACGTTTCTTGTAGTTGGCCACCAGGTTTGCACACATCTCAGGAGGGATTTTGTCCCACTCCTCTTTGCAGATCTTCTCCAAGTCATTAAGGTTTCGAAGCTGACGTTTTGGCAACTCGAACCTTCAGCTCCCTCCACAGATTTTCTATGGGATTAAGGTCTGGAGACTGGCTAGGCCACTCCAGGACCTTAATGTGCTTCTTCTTGAGCCACTCCTTTGTTGCCTTGGCCGTGTGTTTTGGGTCGTCATGCTGGAATACCCATCCACGACCCATTTTCAATTCCCTTCCTGAGGGAAGGAGGTCCTCACCCAAGATTTGACAGTACATGGCCCCGTCCATCGTCCGTTTGATGCGGTGAAGTTGTCCTGTCCCCTTAGCAGAAAAACACCCCCAAAGCATAATGTTTCCACCTCCATGTTTGACGGTGGGGATGGTGTTCTAGGGGTCATAGGCAGCATTCCTCCTCCTCCAAACACGGCGAGTTGAGTTGATGCCAAAGAGCTCCATTTTGGTCTCATCTGACCACAACACTTTCACCCAGTTGTCCTCCGAATCATTCAGATGTTCATTGGCAAACTTCAGACGGGCATGTATATGTGCTTTCTTGAGCAGGGGGACCTTGCGGGCGCTGCAGGATTTCAGTCCTTCACGGCGTAGTGTGTTACCAATTGTTTTCTTGATGACTATGGTCCCAGCTGCCTTGAGATCACTGACAAGATCTTCCCGTGCAGTTCTGGGCTGATTCCTCACCATTCTCATGATCATTGCAACTCCACGAGATGAGATCTTGCATGGAGCCCTAGGCCGAGGGAGATTGACAGTTCTTTTGTGTTTCTTCCATTTGCGAATAATCACACCAACTGTTGTCACCTTCTCACCAAGCTGCTTGGCAATGGTCTTGTAGCCCATTCCAGCCTTGTGTAGGTCTACAATCTTGTCCCTGACATCCTTGGAGAGCTCTTTGGTCTTGGCCATGGTGGAGAGTTTGGAATCTGATCGATTGATTGCTTCTGTGGACAGGTGTCTTTTATACAGGTAACACGCTGAGATTAGGAGCACTCCCTTTAAGAGTGTGCTCCTGATCTCAGCTCGTTACCTGTATAAAAGACACCTGGGAGCCAGAAATCTTTCTGATTGAGGGGGTCAACTATTTATTTCCCTCATTAAAATGCAAATCAATTTATAACATTTTTTACATGCGTTTTTCTGGATTTTGTTGTTGTTATTCTGTCTCTCACTGTTCAAATAAACCTACCATTAAAATTATAGACTAATCATTTCTTTGTCAGTGGGCAAACGTACAAAATCAGCAGGGGATCAAATACTTTGTTCCCTCACTGTAACGTGGTTGAGCAATAGGGAGCCATCCCTTGACCGCACCCCGGCATCGATCAGCCTCCCATTGTATCTGCACCAGATGGTAATTCCTCTGGTACAGCCATCACCAACACCACCACCAATAACAACACCACCACCACCAACACCACCACTACCACTACTACCACCAATAACAACACCACCAATAACAACACCACCACTAACACTACCACCACCAATAACAACACCACCATCACCAATACCACCACCAACACCACCACAACACCACCACCACAACACCACCACCACAACACCACAACACCACAACACCACCACCACAACACCACCACCAACACCACCACAACACCACCACAACACCACCACCACAACACCACAACACCACAACACCACCACCACAACACCACCACCACAACACCACCACCACAATACCACCACAACACCACCACTGTGAGTGGTGATGCTGGGACTCACCCGCTCGTAGTTCTGATCCAGAAACTCAGCACAGAGAGCCTTGTGTCTCGTCAGCAGGTCCTGTACCCAGCAGCACAACAACAACGAAGTCAACAACGTCAACAACAAAAATATATACAACAACGCCAACAACAACGTCAACGTCATCAACGTCAATGACAACAACGTCAACAACAACGACAACAACAACGACAACAACGTCAACAACAACGTCAACGTCACCAACGTCAATGACAACAACAACGTCAACGACAACAACGTCAACTACAACAACGTCAACAACAACGTCAACGTCATCAACGTCAATGACAACAACGTCAACAACAACGTCAACAACAACAACAACGTCAACAACAACGACAACGACAACAACGTCAACGTCAACGACAACAACAACAACAACGTCAACAACAACGACAACGTCAACAACAACGACAACGTCAACAACAACGTCAACGACAACGTCAACAACAACGACAACAACAACAACGTCAACAACAACGTCAACGTCAACAACGTCAACGACAACAACGTCAACTACAACGACAACGTCAACAACAACGACAACAACAACAACGTCAACAACAACGTCAACAACAACGTCAACAACAACGTCAACGACAACAACGTCAACGACAACAACGTCAACAACAACAACGTCAACAACAACGTCAATGACAACAACAACGACAACAACAACGACAACAACGTCAATGACAACAACAACGACAACAACAACAACGTCAACAACAACGTCAACGACAACAATGTCATCAACGTCAACGACAACAACAACAACGTCAACGACAACAACAACGTCAACGACAACAACAACAACGACCACAACAACAACAACAACAACACCAACAACGACAACAACAACAACAACAACGTCAACGACAACAACGACAACAACGTCAACAACAACGACAACAACGACAACAACGTCAACAACAACGTCAACAACGTCAACGACAACAACGTCAACTACAACGACAACGTCAACAACAACGACAACAACAACAACGTCAACAACAACGTCAACAACAACGTCAACAACAACGTCAACGACAACAACGTCAACGACAACAACGTCAACAACAACAACGTCAACAACAACGTCAATGACAACAACAACGACAACAACAACGACAACAACGTCAATGACAACAACAACGACAACAACAACAACGTCAACAACAACGTCAACGACAACAATGTCATCAACGTCAACGACAACAACAACAACGTCAACGACAACAACAACGTCAACGACAACAACAACAACGACCACAACAACAACAACAACAACACCAACAACGACAACAACAACAACGTCAACGACAACAACGACAACAACGTCAACAACAACGACAACGACAACAACGTCAACAACAACGACAACGACAACAACGTCAACAACGACAACGTCAACAACAACGTCAACGACAACAACGTCAACAACAACGTCAACAACAACGTCAACGACAACAACGTCAACAACAACAACGTCACCAACAACAACGTCAACAACAACGTCAAAGACAACAACGTCAACAACAACGTCAACGACAACAACGACAACAACAACAACGACAACGACAACAACGTCAACAACAACGTCAACGACAACAACGACAACAACGTCAACAACAACGTCAACGACAACGTCAACGACAACAACGTCAACAACAACAACGTCAACAACAACAACGTCAACAACAACGTCAACAACAACAACAACGACAACAACGTCAACAACAACAACAACGTCAACAACAACAACAACGTCAACGACAACGTCAACAACAACGTCAACAACAACGTCAACAACAACGTCAACAACGACAACGTCAACAACAACAACAACGTCAACAACAACGTCAACAACAACGTCAACAACAACATCAACAACAACGTCAACAACAACGTCAACAACGTGTCACAGCAGCCCTGACAATCATACGGGGGTCAAGGGTCAATACAGGCCATGGACGTGGTGGTGGTTGTGTTGGTGGTGGTTGTATTGGTGGTGGTTGTTTTGGTGGTGGTGGTGGTGAAGGTGGTTATGTTGGTGGTGGTAAAGGTGGTTGTGTTGGTGGTGTTGTTGGCGGTGGTGGTGTTAAAGTTGGTTGTGTTGGTGGTGTTGGTGGTAAAGGTGGTGGTGTTGGTGGTGGTGTTGTTGGTGGTAAAGGTGGTGGTGTTGGTGGTGGTGGTTGTGTTGGCGGTGTTGTGGTGGTGTTGGTAGTGTTGTGGTGGTGGCGTTGTGGTGGGGTGGTGGTGTTGTTGTGGTGGTGTTGGTGGTGGTGGTTGTGTTGGCGGTGTTGTGGTGGTGTTGGTAGTGTTGGTGCTGTTGCGGTGGTGGCGTTGTGGTGGGGTGGTGGTGTTGGTGGTGGTGTTGGTGGTGTTGGGGTGGTGTTGGTGGTTGTGGTGTTGTGGTGGGGTGGTGATGGTGTTGTTGGTGTTGTTGTGGTGGGGTGGTGGTGTTGTTGTGGTGGGGTGGTGGTGTTGTGGTGGTGTTGTGGTGTTGGGGTGGTGTTGGGGTGGTGGTGTTGGTGGTGTTGGTGGTGTTGGGGTGGTGGTGTTGGTGGTGTTGGTGTGGTGGTGTTGTGGCGGTGTTGTGGTGGGGTGGTGATGGTGTTGGTGGTGTTGTGGTGTTGTGTTGGTGGTGGTGATGGTGGTGTTGGTGGTAGTGTTGTGGTGGTGGTGTTGGTGTGGTAGTGTTGTGGTGGTGGTGTTGTGGTGTTGTGGTGGTGGTGTTGGTGGTAGTGTTGTGGCGGTGTTGTGGTGGTGGTGGTGGTGTTGGTGGTGTTGGTGGTGTTGGTGGTAGTGTTGAGTGGGGTGTTGTGGTGTTGTGGTGGTGGTGGGTGGTGGTGTTGGTGGTGTTGTGGTGGTGGTGTTGTGGTGGTGTTGTGGTGGTGGTGGTGTTGTGGTGGTGTTGGTGGTGTTGGTGGTGGTGTTGTGGTGGGGTGGTGATGGTGTTGGTGGTGTTGGTGGTAGTGTTGTGGTGGTGGTGATGGTGATGGTGGTAGTGGTGGTGGTGGTGTGGTGGTGGTGTTGTGGTGGTGTTGGTGGTAGTGTTGTGGTGGTGGTGATGGTGGTGGTGGTGTTGGTGGTGTTGGTGGTGTTGGTGGTAGTGTTGAGTGGGGTGTTGTGGTGTTGTGGTGGTGGTGTTGTGGTGGTGGTGTTGTGGTGGTGTTGTGGTGGTGGTAGTGGGGGGTGTGGTCCACCCTGAAGGTGGCGAAGGCGTCCGAGGCGACGTCGAAGGTGGAAGCGTCCACGTAGTGGAAGAGGCGGAAGAAGTGGGGAGAGGTGAGCACGGAGCGGGCCAGCAGCTCGTGGCGAACACACTCACGCAACATGGCGCCCGTGTGTAGCGCAATGTCTACACAGTCATAGCTACACACACACACAGACACACACATACATAGACACACACATAGACACACACACATAGACACAATGTCTACACAGTCGTAGCTACACACACACACACACACAGACACACACACAGACACACACATAGACACACACACATAGACACAATGTCTACACAGTCGTAGCTACACACACACACAGACACACACATACATAGACACACACATAGACACACACACATAGACACAATGTCTACACAGTCGTAGCTACACACACACACACACATAGACACACACACACACACATAGACACACACACATAGATACACACATAGACACACACACATACACACAATGTCTACACAGTCATAGCTACACACACACACATAGACACACACATAGACACACACACATACACACAATGTCTACACAGTCATAGCTACACACACACACATAGACACACACATACACAACAACAACCGCCATTCGCCACTAAGTGGCAGTGACGTCACCACGACGCTTGTGCCAGGCTATGTGCACCCTGAGGCCACGTGAAGTGTCGAACGCCCGCTGGCAGGAGGTCACGGGGCAGACCCAGGTGCCACGGGTCGACTGACTGAGATGACTGGCTGATGCACCACCTGTGCCCCCTACTGTGCCAACCTGCTGTGCTTTAGCCACCCGGCGCTCCGCTCGCTGTTGTGAGCGTCGCTCCTCCGCCCTCCGATGTTGTTGGAGGGCGACTGCCTCCAACTGCCCAGTAGCATCCTTCACGAGCCTCCTCCACAGAGGCCGATCTTGACACCGCTGGTACCAGTCATCGGCAAGTCCACTCAGCTCCACGTCCTCCTGTACCACATCACTCCATCTCTTCTCTAGCCCGTGCCGCGCCCGCTTAGCCCCCTCAATCCGGCCAAACAAAAGCTGTTTCGGCATGCGGTGGCTGGGCATGCGGGCTACATGACCCAGCCATCGCAGCCTTGCCCGCCGGAGGAGCTCACCGATGGGACCCTGCCCAGATCTTTCAAGGATTTGTGAGCTCCTCACACAATCCAGTCTGGTTAAACCCAGGATGGATCGTAGGCAGGCCAGCCTAAATGTTTCTAAGCGGCGTAGATGTTCCATTAGGGGGGTCCACGTTTCGCAAGCGTAGAGAAGGGAGGGAATGACCGTGGCCGAGAAGACCTGAAGCTTAGTGCGGAGCGACAGACCAGGTAGCTTCCACACAGCGTTACGCAACCGATGAAAAGATATTGCCGCTCGTCTTATTCGGAGTGAGACCTCTGCTGTTAAACTGGAGCCAGTCATAAGCACACTGCCCAGATATGGGAAACTCTCCACTCTCTCCACAACTGCCCCATCACCGATTGGGAGTTGTGGGGGTGGAGTGTCCGATGGTACAAAATACCCAGGCAGGTGCTTAGTTTTGGTGGGGCTGATGGTAAGGCCCCACCTCTTAGTGGCACGCTCCAGTCTCAGCAGCAGCGTCTCCAACTCCTCCTCTGACTGAGCAGCTATTACCAAATCATCAGCATACATAACGTGGTTGAGCAATAGGGAGCCATCCCTTGACCGCACCCGGGCATCGATTAGCCTCCCATTATATCTGTACCATATGGAGATTCCCCCGGTACAGCTATTGAAGGCTTCACAAACTACGTGGTCAAAATAGATGTTAAATAATGTGGGAGCCAGAGGACATCCCTGTCGCACCCCAAGGAGTACAGGGAATGGCTCTGACTCCCAGCCACGTAGTTTTACCCGGGCCCGCTCACCATCATGAAGGTCCTTAATGATCGTGAGCAGAGGGTCAGGTACTCCAAAAGCACGAAGAACGACCCAGAGCCCAGGCCTACTGATGGTATCATAGGCCTTGACCAAGTCAATAAAGCAGAGATGTAGATTTTGTTGGAATTCCCTACACCTCTGCTGTAGCAGGCGGACAGAAAATATGGCATCTGTGCAGGACCGCCCTATCCTGAAACCGCATTGGGGCTCCGCAAGCCTCTCCTCAGCGTGCCTGGCAAGGCGATGCTGAATAATCCTTGCCAGGACCTTTCCCGGCACACTGAGGAGTGAGATGCCCCTGTAGTTGTTACAGTCTGTGCGGTCCCCCTTCTTAAAAAGGGGGACCACCAGGGCATCCTTCCAATCCTGCGGAACCCGTCCAGTGGTCCAGACTGTTGTTATGATGTCATATAGGGCAGTCTGTGCACAAACGCCACCCTCCCTCAGCATTTCGCTTGGGAGATCATCTCTGTCCGGTGTCTTTCCTGGTTTCAGACTCCGGATCGCCTTCAGTACTACCTCAACAGATGGCACCACAGCCAGCCACTCACAGGGGGTGACTTCTTCCAATATTTGAGGCACCGCAGACTCAGCAGGGTCATCCTCACTTTGTGCCACGATGTTTTCCTGGCTGAGGGATTTTCCCTCCCCCAGGACCTCACAGAAATGCTCAGCAAATCTGCAAACCTGTTCCTGGGGGTCGGAGATTGGATCACCGTTTTTTCCCCTAATGATGGTAATAGGTGTGGCACTGCAGGTTACTTTTTTGATGGAGTTAAATAGAGATTTGTGATCACGGGCCACTGAGGCAGACTCCATCTCCTCAGCAACCCGCGACCACCACCCAATCCTTGCAGCGCCTCACGGCTCTCCGAACCTCCGAGCGAAGGCTGCGGTAAGCCTCCTCATTCTCTGACGTGGGATTCTGTAGCCGATGGCAGTGGGCCTGTCGCTTTTTCTCAACCATCCTGAACAACTCCTCTGTCAGCCGGGGTCTCTGGGGAGGTCTGGACCGCGTACCCAAAGCAGCCATTGCAGCTGCATGAGTCACAGTCCTAAACCTCGCCCATTTACCCTCGACATCAGGAGGAGTCGGGGACGATGCCAATCCCAGCCGCAAGCGATGATGAAATTCTCGCTTGCAACTTTCATCAGATAACTGAGACCAGGCCACTTTAGGTCGGAATGGGGTCCTGGGTGTACACCTACCACCGGAGTGGAAGAATGGCAGGCGCATCTTACAGATGACTAGTCGATGGTCAGAGGGCAGATCAGCTCCACGGTAGGTCCTGGTGTCAAGGACATGGGCTCGCATCCGCTGGTCCGTCACTATGTAGTCCAGCAGATGTTCTTGCTTGGACCCGGCATCCATCCATGATGTTGTGTGGATGCGCCGATGCCGGAACAGCGTGTTGGTAATTACAAGCCCATGGGCTGCACAAAAATCTAGCAGCCTCCTACCGTTGTTATTGAGCTGATCTGGCCCATGCCCTCCAATCACTCCAGACCAGGTGCCAGTATCATGACCAACTCGGGCATTAAAGTCACCCAACATGATGACTCTATCCTGAGAGGCCACTTTAGCCAGCACCTGTGACAGGAGGTCACAGAAGGCATCTGACTCATCGGCTTGGCCTGCATCCCTCCACGGATGTTCATCTTCAGTGGGGGCATAAGTAACCACGACCACCATTCCTCGCCTCCGGTTGATGGGAAGGCGAGCCCAAAGTAGCCTGGGGCTTACAGCTTCCCACACCTCACCGCCACGCTCCCACTCCCCCTTCATTCTTTTGTTCAAAAGAAGAGCCACACCCTGTTGTTTGGCAGTCTGCTGCCCCGAGTAGAGGACTGTCCACCCCTCATGGTGGCAGGAGCCAAAGCCGGTCCACCGGACCTCCTGAATGCCGCATAGATCCAGGTGGTACCGGTCCAGCTCCCGACAGAGGAGTGGCAGCCTCTCCTCTGCAGTGAGCGTTCGAACATTCCACGTGGCCACCCGTAGTGGCTTTTCGTTGTTTCTGGAGGAGCCCCGAGGGTGGATATTCAATCTCCTGGCTCCGCCAATTGGGGTTTGGCCAGGAGACGTCATAGACGCCTGTCCCCCCGGGGCCTCCGGCACAAGCTTATTAGTTACATATTTCAGTTTAACACACACAGACACACACATACACACATAGACACACACACAGATACATAGAGACCCATAGAGACACCCAGCACAATGTATCTCTATGAGTCTCTATGTGAGCGGGTGAGTGAGCGGGTGAGCATGTGGGCAGGTGAGCGAGTGGGTGAGCGAACAGTTCAATGAGCGGGTGAGCGAGTGGGTGAGCAAGCGGGTGAGCGAGTGAGTGAGCGGGCGAGTGAGCGAGCGGGCGAGCGAGCCAGTGAGTGAGCAAGCGGGCAAGTGGGTGAACGAGTGAGCGAGTGAGTGGGCGAGTGAGTGGGTGAGTGAGCGTGTGAGTGAGCGGGTGAGTGAGCGGGCGGGCGAGTGAGCGAGTGAGCGGGCGAGTGAGCGAGTGAGTGAGCGGGCGAGTGAGCGGGCGAGTGAGTGAGCGAGTGAGTGAGCGGGCGAGTGAGCGGGCGAGTGAGTGAGTGAGTGAGCGAGTGAGTGAGCGGGCGAGTGAGCGGGCGAGTGAGCGGGCGAGTGAGTGAGCGGGCGAGTGAGTGAGCGGGCGAGTGAGTGAGCGAGTGAGTGAGTGGGCGAGTGAGTGAGCGGGCGAGTGAGCGGGCGAGTGAGTGAGTGAGTGAGCAAGTGAGTGAGCAGGCGAGTGAGCGGGCGAGTGAGCGGGCGAGTGAGTGAGTGAGTGAGTGAGCGAGCGGGCGAGTGAGTGAGCGGGCGAGTGAGTGAGTGAGCGGGTGAGTGAGCGAGTGAGTGAGCGGGCGAGTGAGCGGCCGAGTGGGCGAGCGGCCGAGTAAGCGGGCGAGTGAGCGGGCGAGTGAGCGGGCGAGTGAGCGGGCAAGTGAGAGGGCGGATGAGCGAGTGAGTGAGCGAGCATGCAAGTGAGCGAGCGAGTGAGTGAGCGAGCGAGTGAGTGAGCGGGTGAGTGAGTGGGTGAGTGAGCGAGCAAGTGAGCGAGCATGCGAGTGAGCAAGTGAGCGGGCGAGTGAGCGGCCGAGTGAGCGGGCGAGTGAGCGGCCGAGTGAGCGGCCGAGTGGGCGAGCGGCCGAGTGAGCGGCCGAGTGAGCGGGCGAGTGGGCGAGCGAGTGGGCGAGCGAGTGGGCGAGCATGCGAGTGGGCGAGCGACTGAGTGAGCGAGCGAGCGAGTGAGCGCTCTCACCCGCGCAGCAGCGTGGACAGGAGGTGAGGGCAGGAGCTGATGTACTCCACCGTGGGGGTGCGCGAGCCAATCTGTCGCCGCAGGATGTTGTTGAAGATCTGCGCCACGTCCTTCTTGCCCTGCGCTCGCACAAAGGCAAAGGTCCCCCGTGTAGCCTCCGCACGCCGCACGGGGGGGGGGGGGGGTGGGGGGCAAGTGCCGCTCGTGGCGAGCAGCGGCGGCACGCGAGCGGGTGCGGTGGCCGGCACCACGCCCGCCCGTCCGCCTTTGTCTCTCCCTGGTGGCGACGTTCACCGCACGTCGCTCCCACGGGGACTTACTTGAGGCCGTGGCCGTGAGCGGGGATCGGACTCGGGGCGCCGGGTTAATGGTGCGGCGTGTTAAAACCTCGTTCCACATCACCCAGCCACTCAACTCACTCACCCAGCCACTCACCCAGCCACTCACTCACTCACTCAGCCACTCACTCACCTACCCAGCTACTCACTCACTCACCCAGCCACTCACTCACTCACCCAGCCACTCACTCACCCAGCCACTCACTCACCCAGCCACTCACCCAGCCACTCACTCACCTACCCAGCTACTCACTCACTCACTCAGCCACTCACTCACCTACCCAGCTACTCACTCACTCACCCAGCCACTCACTCACTCACTCACCCAGCCACTCACTCACCCAGCCACTCACTCACCCAGCCACTCACTCACCTACCCAGCCACTCACTCACCTACCCAGCTACTCACTCACCTACTCACTCACCCAGATACTCACCCAGCCACTCACTCACCCAGCCACTCACTCACTCACCCAGCCACTCACTCACTCACCCAGCCACTCACTCACCTACTCAGCCACTCACTCAGCCACTCAGCCACCCACCCACCCACCCAGCCACCCACCCACCCACCCAGTCACTCACCCACCCACCCAGCCACTCACCCACCCACCCACTCACCCAGCCACTCACCCACTAACCCACCCAGCCACTCACCCACCCAGCCACTCGCCCACCCAGCCACTCACCCACCCAGCTAGTCACCCAGCCACTCACCAACCCACCTCCACCCAGCCACTCACCAACCCACTCACCCACCCAGCCACTCACCCACCCACCCGCTCACCCGCTCACCCACCCACCCACCCACCCGCCCACCCACCTCGAAGTCAATACGCTGCAGGTTGGCCACGAGCGTGGTCAACAGACCGCTGGTGTGCAGCTCCTGGGCTAGGAGGGCGACGGCGTCGGCCTGCGGCTCCCTGTCGCCCGCCCCGCACAGCACCTCCTTCATGGCCGACAGGCTGCGGGACACCTCCTCCGAGGCCTGCCGGAGACAGCGGCCCTGCGCTTAGCCCCGCGCCGTAGCCACGGTCGCCACCGCAGCCAGGATCACCGCGCCGCCGTCACCACGATCACCGTGACTACCGCCACCGCCATCGCGACCACCGTGCAACCAAGATCACCATCGCGACCACCGTGCAACCAAGATCACCATCGCGACCACCGTGCAACCAAGATCACCATCGCGACCACCGTGCAACCAAGATCACCATCGCTACCACCGTGCACCACGATCACCATCGCTACCACCGTAACCACGATCACCATCGCGACCACCGTGCACCACGATCACCATCGCGACCACCGTGCACCACGATCACCATCGCTAGCACACGTGCAACCACGATCACCATCGCGACCACCGTGCACCAAGATCACCATCGCTACCACCGTAACCACGATCACCATCGCTACCACCGTGCAACCAAGATCACCATCGCGACCACCGTGCACCACGATCACCATCGCGACCACCGTGCAACCAAGATCACCATCGCTACCACCGTGCACCACGATCACCATCACTACCACCGTAACCACGATCACCATCGCTACCACCGTGCAACCACGATCACCATCGCTACCACCGTGCAACCAAGATCACCATCGCTACCACCGTGCACCACGATCACCATCGCTACCACCGTGCACCACGATCACCATCGCTACCACCGTAACCACGATCACCATCGCGACCACCGTGCACCACGATCACCATCGCTATCACCGTGCACCAAGATCACCATCGCGACCACCGTAACCACGATCACCATCGCTACCACCGTGCACCACGATCACCATCGCTACCACCGTGCACCACGATCACCATCGCGACCACCGTAACCACAATCACCATCGCTACCACCGTGCACCACGATCACCATCGCTACCACCGTGCACCACGATCACCATCGCTACCACCGTGCACCACGATCACCATCGCTACCACCGTGCACCACGATCACCACCACCACCACCGCCACCAGAAGTGAGCGCCGACGCCGCTCCCGATTCCGCCACCGATCGTTGGGTTAGTTGTGCCGTGTGCCGTGACGCGGGTTAGGCCACCCGGTGACGATCCGGTGACGATTTCTGGTGGCCGCTTGTCGCCGTTTGTTCGCTTGTCCGTGAGAGCCCTCCACCACCCGACGGGCCCCCGTCGTGTCACCTGACCATGACCACGCCCCTCCCCCCCCCCCGCCCGGTGGGAGAGGGGGGGGCGGGGTTGTGACGTCACGACGCCCGCGTTGCCCGAGCCTCGTGCGTGGGGGAGGGGGGGTGTGGGGGGGTGTGGGGGGGGTGTGGGGGGGTGTGGGGGGGTGTGGAGGGGGATGGGGGGTGTGTTGGGGGGGGTGGGGGGGGTGTAGGGGGGTGTGTGGGGGGGGTGTGTGGGGAGCGGTTCCCCGGGTTTCGTAGCGCGCTGCGATATTTCCACTACAAAGATCCCCCATGTAGCCTTCAACAGACTGTTGGGGCAAGTGCTGTTGGCAGCGAGTGGCAGCGCCTGTGAAGTGAGGCGCGGCCACGCGCGGGGGTGGGGTGGCCGACACCGCGCACGCCCGGCCGCCTTTGTCTCCCCCGTGTCGATGTTTACTACTACGCACCGCACCAGGTACTTATTTGAGGCCGAGCCGACCTAGGGGGAGGCCCCAGGACCGGTTCAGAGAATCGTCACCGGGGGTGGCGTTGGCCGTGAGCGGGAAATCGAACTCGGACAGTCGGATTCGTAGCGCAGCGCGCTCACCGCTACACCACCGCTCCCCACACAACAACAACAACAACAACCGCCATTCGCCACTAAGTGGCGGTGACGTCACCACGACGCTTGTGCCAGGCTATGTGCACCCTGAGGCCACGTGAAGTGTCGAACGCCCACTGGCAGGAGGTCACGGGGCAGACCCAGGTGCCACGGGTCGACTGACTGAGATGACTGGCTGATGCACCACCTGTGCCCCCTACTGTGCCAACCTGCTGTGCTTTAGCCACACGGCGCTCCGCTCGTTGTTGTGAGCGTCGCTCCTCCGCCCTCCATTGTTGTTGGAGGGCGACTGCCTCCAACTGCCCAGTAGCGTCCTTCACGAGCCCCCTCCACAGAGGCCGATCTTGACACCGCTGGTACCGGTCATCGGCAAGTCCACTCAGCTCAACGTCCTCCTGTACCACATCACTCCATCTCTTCTCCAGCCCATGTCGTGCCCGTTAAGTACCCTCTATCTGGCCAAACAAAAGCTGTTTAGGCATGCTGTGGCTGGGCATGCGGACTACACGACCCAGCCATCGCAGCCTTGCCCGCCGGAGGAGCTCACCGTTGGGACTGTGTCCAGATTTTTCCGGAATTTGTGAGCTCCTCACACAATCCAGCCTACAGGTTAAACTCAGGATGGATCGTAGGCAGGCCAGCCTAAATGTTTCCAACCAACAAACATGTTCAATTAGGAGGGTCCACGTTTCGCAAGCGTAGAGAAGGGAGAGAATGACTGTGGCCGAGAAGACCCGAAGCTTAGTGCGGAGCGACAGACCAGGTAGCTTCCACACAGCGTTACGCCGCCAATGAAAAGATATTGCCGCTCGACTGATTCGGAGTGAGACCTCTGCTGTTAAACTGGAGCTGGTCATAAGCACACTGCCCAGGTATGGGAAACTCTCCACTCTCTCCACAACTGCCCCATCACCGATTGGGAGTTGTGAGGGTGGAGTGTCCGATGGTACAACATACCCAGGCAGGTGCTTCTTTTGGTGGGGCTGATGGTAAGGCCCCACCTCTTAGTGGCACGCTCCAGTCTCAGCAGCAGTGCCTCCAACTCCTCCTCTGAGTGAACAGCAATCACCAGATCATCGGCATACATAACGTGGTTGAGCAAAAGAGAGCCATCCCTTGACCGCACCTGGGCATCGATCAGCCTTCCATTGTATCTGCACTAGATGGAGATTCGTCTAGGACAGCCATGGAAGGCTACTCGAATTCCGTGGTCAAAAAAATGTTAAATAATGTGTACAGGGAATGGCCACCGACTTCCGGCCACGTAGTTTTACCCGGGCCTGCTCACCATCATGAAGGTCCTTAATGATCGTGAGGAGGTCAGGTACTCCAAAAGCATGAAGAACAACCCAGAGCCCAGGCCTACTGATGATATCATAGGCCTTGACCAGGTCAATAAAGCAGAGATGCATGTCTTGTTGAAATTCCCTACACCTCTGCTGTAGCAGACGGACAGAAAATATGGCATCTGTGCAGGACCGCCCTTTCCTGAAACCGCATTGGGGCTCCGCAAGCCTCTCCTCAGCGTGCCTGGCAAGGCGATGTTGAATAATCCTTGCCAGGACCTTTCCCGGCACACTGAGGAGTGAGATGCCCCTGTAGTTGTTAAAGTCTGTGCGGTCCCCCTTCTTAAAGAGGGGCAACCACCAGGGCATCCTTCCAATCCTGTGGAACCCGTCCAGTGGTCCAGACTGTTGTTATGGTGTCATGTAGGGCAGTCTGTGCACAAACGCCACCCTCCCTCAGCATTTCGCTTGGGAGATCATCTCTGCCCGGTGCCTTTCCTGGTCTCAGACTCTGGATCGCCTTCAGTACTTCCTCAACAGATGGCACTTCAGGCAGCCACTCACCAGGGTCATCCCCACTTTGCTCAATAGTTTTCTGGGCTGAGGGATTTCCCCTCTCCCAACACCTCATAGAAATGTTCAGCAAATCTGCAAACCTGTTCCTGGGGGTCGAAGATCGAATCACCTGTTTCCCCTAAGAATGGTGATAGGTGTTTGAACATTAGCTCTGTGAGGAACACTCCATCTCGTCAGCAACCCGCAACCACCACTTACCACTGTAGCACTGCCCGGCTCTCCGAACCTCCGAGCGAAGGCTGCAGTAAGCCTCCTCATGCTCCGACGTGGGATTCTGTAGCCGATGATAGTGGGCCTGTCACTTTTTCTCAGCCAGCCAGAACACCTCCTCTGTCAGCCAGGGTCTCTGGGGAGGTCTGGACCGCGTACCCAAAGCAGCCATTTTAGCTGCATGAGCCACAGTCCTAAACCTCGCCCATTTACCCTCGACATCAGGAGGCGGGGGGACGATGCCAAGCCCAGCTGCATTCGGTGATAAAATTTTAGCTTACAACTTTCATCAGCTAGCTGAGACCAGGCCACTATGGGTTTAAATGGGGTCCTTGATGGACACTCACCACCGGAGTGGAAGAATGGCACGCGCATCTTACAGATGACAAGCCGATGGTCAGTGGGCAGATCAGCTCCAAGGTAGGTCCTGGTGTCAAGGACATGGGCCTGCATCCGCTGTTCCATCACTATATAATCTAGCAGATGTTCTTGCTTGGACCCGGTGTGCATCCATGATGGTCTGTTGATGCGCCGATGCTGGAACAGCGTGTTGGTAATTACAAGCCTATGGGCTGCACAAAAGTCTAGCAGCCTCCTACCGTTGTTATTGAGCTGATCTGGCCCATGCCCTCCAATCACTCCAGACCAGGTGCCAGCATCGTGACCAACTCGGGCATTGAAGTCACCCAACAAGATGACTCTATCCCGAGGGACGACTTTAGCTAGCACCTGTGACAGAAGGTTATAGAAGGCATCTGACTCATCAGACTTGCCTGCATCCCTCCACTAAAGTTAATCTTCGGTGGGAACGTATGCAACCACAACCATTCCTCATCTCCCGTTGACTGGGAGGCGAGCCCACAGTCGCCTGGGGCTTACAGCTTCCCACACCTCACCGCCACGCTCCCACGCCCCCTTCATTATTTTGTTCAGAAGAGCCACTCCCTGTTGTTTGGTAGTCTCCTGCCCCTAAGTAGAGGTCTGTCCACCCCTCATGGTGGCAGGAGCCAGAGCCGGTCCACCGGACCTTCCAGGCGGTACCAGTCCAGCTCCCGACAGAGGAGCTGGCAGCCTCTCCTCCGCAGCGAGCGTTCGAACATTCCACGTGGCCACCCGCAGTGGCTTTTTTGTTGTTTCTGGAGGAACCCCGAGGGTCAAGATTCAGTCTCCTGGCTCCGCCAAATGGGGTTTGGCCAAGCTTCGTCTGATATCTAATTCATGGTTTAGTGGTAATTCATCGAGGGGGGAGGTGTTACCAGCCCCTCGCGCCCGCCCAGAAGCACACTGACACACACACAGACAGACACACACCGACACACACACAGACACGGCACGCGGGGAATTTGTCATTAACCGAGGCGGCCGAGGCTCCGCTGCTGCCCCCGCCGACGCCGCTGAACGCCCTGAGCTCCGCCGAGTCCTTGCCGGGCTTCAGCGACGGCCTCTTGGCCCACAGCCTCCTGCTGCTGTGCTGCTCTGGAGGGTGGCTCTCGCTCCTCAGGTTCGGAATCGAGTGTCTGAAGAAACGATTCGCGGAGTGATGCTGCTGCTGCTGCTGCTGCTGCTCCTTCTCCTGCTTCTGCTGCTCCTGCTTCTGCTGCTGCTGCTGCTCCTGCTGATCCTCTTTGTAATGCTGCTGGAGATGCTGCTGATGATGCTGCTGCTGGAGATGCTGCTGAAGATGATGATGATGCTGCTGCTGTTGTTTGTGAGCGGCAGCTTGGCTGCTAAAGAGCGCTGGCGAGCTGTAGGAGTGCGGGAGACCGGCGGGAGCCGGCTGCCGGGACAAGGAGGAGGAGGAGGAGGTTTTGGCGGAGAACGAGTCGGGAGATTTGGGAGAGGGACGTTACGGGGGGGGGGGGGGGGGGGGGGGGGGGGCAAAGGTCCGGGTAGTCTGCTCCTGCCATCGATGGTGGTGGTGATTGTGCCACGGTGGCGAGATGTTAACGACCTCACCTGGTGCCGCGGAGAGGTCGTGCGTGTGAGATCCCGACCCCTGACGATGCACGTATTGGGCGAGATGTTAACGACCTTACCTGGTATACAGGAGGTCCTGCATTCGACCCCGACCCGGACGCCTGCTGCTACCTATTGGGAGTTTGCGTGTCTCTCTCTCTCTCTTTCTCTGTCCCCGTGGTGACGTGGATTTTTCTCCGGGTCCTCCGGTTTTTCCCTCCGCGTTTGAAATCGACGTCGCCACGCGTTTATAGAGGATTTGGCTGCTGTGGGTCTCTGTGGGTCTCTATGGTTCTCTGGGTTTCTATGGGTCTCTATGAGTCTCTAAGTCTCAGTGGGTCTCTATGGTTCTATGTGAGTCTCTGGATCTCGATGGGTCTCTGTGGGTCTCTATGGGTCTCTGGGTTTCTATGGGTCTCTATGAGTCTCTGGGTCTCTATGGGTCTCTGTGGGTCTCTGTGGGTCTCTATGAGTCTCTGTGGGTCTCTATGGGTCTCTATGGGTCTCTATGGGTCTCTGTGGGTCTCTATGGAGCTATACGAGTCTCTGGATTTCTATGGGTCTCTGTGGGTCTCTGTGAATCTCTGGATCTCCATGGGTCTCTGTGGGTCTCTGTGGGTCTCTGTGGGTCTCTGTGGGTCTCTATGGGTCTCTGTGGGTCTCTGTGGGTCTCTATGATTCTATATGAGTGTTTGGATCTCTGTGGGTCTAGTGTATAGTGTAGTGTACAGTGTAGTGTACAGTGTAGTGTGCGGTGTAGTGTACAGTGTAGTGTATAGTGTACAGTGTAGTGTATAGTGTAGTGTATAGTGTAGCGTGTAGTGTATAGTGGGGTAGTATATAGTGCAGTGTGTAGTATATAGTGTATAGTGTAGTGTATAGAGTAGTGTGTAGTGTATTGTGTAGTGTATAGTGTAGTGTATAGTGCAGTAACCAGTGTACTACCTCAGCCCACCGGTGTGTTGGCAGAGCAAATCGCTGCTAATCACATCCAGCATCATCGGGCAATTTTTCCCGATTCATAACATTGGTCGCGAAAGCCAACGTGTTAAACCGATCATCATCATCATTATTATTATTATGATGCACCGTCAGGATTATGAGAGTTTCTCGCAGACCCGGACTCCAAAAGGGGTCCTCTGCTGCTCCTGCTGCTGCTGCTGTGGCGGTGTTTGTGTGTTTGGCGTTTGGGGGGGGCGTTGGTTTTTGGCCGACACCAGTTCCACAGGATGTGTGGGTTTAGCTACGGCGGGAGGCAAACGCAACGCAGAAGGGCGGGAGAGGGGCTCGCGTGGAAACCGCAGACTCGCTCACTCTCGCTCGCACACTCGCACACTAACGCACACTTACAACACTACCACACACTTACAACACTACCACACACACACACTTACACTACCACATACACACTTACGCTACCACATACACACTTACACTACCACATACACACTTACACTACCACATACACACTTACACTACCACATACACACTTACACTACCACATACACTCACACGCTTACACTAACGCACACTTACACTCGCACACTAACGCACACTTACAACACTACCACACATTTACAACACTACCACACACACATTTACACTACCACATACACTCACACACTTACACTCACTCACACACACACACACTTATACAACCACACACACACACTAACACACTCTTACACTACCACATACACTCACACATTTACACTCACTCACACACTTACACTCACACACTTACACACTTACACTCACACACACACACACACTAACACACTCTTACACTACCATACACTCACACACACTTACACTAACAAACACACACTCTCGCTCGCACACTCGCACACTTACAACACTACCACACACTTACAACACTACCACACACACACACTTACACTACCACACACACACTTACACTACCACATACACTCACACACTTACACTCACTCACACACACACACACTTATACAACCACACACACACACTAACACACTCTTACACTACCACATACACTCACACATTTACACTCACTCACACACTTACACTCACACACTTACACACTTACACTCACACACACACACACTAACACACTCTTACACTACCATACACTCACACACACTTACACTAACAAACACACACTCTCGCTCGCACACTCGCACACTTACAACACTACCACACACTTACAACACTACCACACACACACACACTTACACTACCACACACACACTTACACTACCACATACACTCACACACTTACACTCACTCACACACACACACACTTATACAACCACACACACACACTAACACACTCTTACACTACCACATACACTCACACATTTACACTCACTCACACACTTACACTCACACACTTACACACTTACACTCACACACACACACTAACACACTCTTACACTACCATACACTCACACACACTTACACTAACAAACACACACTCTCGCTCGCTCACACTCTTACACTACCACATACACTCACACACTTACACACTCACACACTAACAGACTCTCACTCACACTCACTAACACACACGCACACACACACTAACACGCACACACACACTAACACACTCTCACTCTCATTCACACACACTAACACACTCTCACTCACTCTCATTCACACAACTAACACACACTTACACACACACACAATCGCTCACACACTCTTACACTACCACACACACTCACACACTACCACACACACTCTCACTCACACACTTACACACACACTCTCACTCACACACTTACACACACACTAACACACTCTTACACACACACACTCTCGCTCACACACTCTTACACTACCACACACACATACACACTACCACACACACACTCACACACTCACACACTACCACACACACTTACACACTTACACACTCACACACTCTTACACTCACACACACACACTCTTACACTCACACACACACTCTCACTCACACACACAAACACTCTCACTCACACACACACATACACTAACACACTAACACGGACACACACACACTAACACACACACACTCACACTAACACACACACACTAACACACACACACTAACACACACTAACACACACTAACACACACTAACACACACACACTCTCACTAACTCACTCTGTATAAGAGGGGGGATAATGTACAAACTGCAGACTCACTCTATGACGACGATGATGATGACGGTGACGACGACGACGATGACGACGATGATGACGACGGTGATGACGACGACGATGACGACGACGATGATGACAGTGATGACGACGGTGATGACGACGATGATGACGACGGTGATGACGACGACGATGATGACGACGATGATGACGACGATGATGACGACGATGATGACGACGATGATGATGACGACGATGATGACGACGATGATGATGACGACGATGATGACGACGACGCCACCGAGGGTGAGGAGCAGGGTGAGGGTGAGGAGCAGGGTGAGCGGCAGGGTGAGGAGCAGGGTGAGGAGCAGGGTGAGCGGCAGGGTGAGGAGCAGGGTGAGGAGCAGGGTGGCAGGGTGAGTGTGAGCGGCAGGGTGAGCGGCAGGGTGGCAGGGTGAGGGTGAGGAGCAGGGTGAGGGTGAGGAGCAGGGTGAGGGTGAGGAGCAGGGTGAGGGTGAGGAGCAGGGTGGCTCACCTTCTCCGTCCTCTTGTCCTGCTCCTGCTGCTGCTGAGCCGTCTCGAGCAGGGCGAGGTTCTCCCGCAGTGTGCGCACAATGTCCACGGGGGACTTGTGGGACTTGGAAAACGAGAACAGCATTGCTGCCCACACGCTCGCTCGCTCACTCAACCACCCACTCGCTCGCTCACTCAACCACCCACTCGCTCACCCACCCACTCACTCACTCACACGCTCACCCGCTCGCTCGCCCGCCCGCTCGCTCGCTCACTCAACCACCCACTCACTCACTCACTCACCCACCCACTCACCCACCCACTCACTCACACGCTCACACGCTCACTCGCTCGCTCACTCACTCACTCAACCACCCACCCACCGACCCACTCACCCACGCACCCACCCACTCACTCACCCACCCACTCACTCACCCGCTCGCTCGCTCGCCCGCCCGCTCACTCACTCACACACTCACCCACTCACTCACACGCTCACCTGCTCACTCGCTCACTCACTCAACCACCCACCGACCCACTCACCCACCCACCCACTCACTCACTCACCCACTCACTCACTCACCCACTCACTCACACGCTCACACGCTCACCCACCCACCCACTCACCAACTCACCCACCCACCCACTCACTCACCCACCCACCGTCTCACTCGCTCGCTGATTCACTCACTCCCCCACGCGTTACTCCGTCTCTCTCTCCCTCTCTCAGTTGGTTGCCGGGGTCGGTTGCCGGGGTCGGTTGCCGGGGTCGGTTGCCGGGGTCGGTTGCCGGGGTCGGTTGCCGGGGTCGGTTGCCGGGGTGGGTTGCCGGGGTCGGTTGCCGGGGTTTGGTTGCCGGGGTCGGTTGCCGGGGTCGGTTGCTGGGGTCGGTTGCCGGGGTTTGGTTGCCGGGGTCGGTTGCCGGGGTCGGTTGCCGGGGTCGGTTGCCGGGGTTTGGTTGCCGGGGTCGGTTTGCCGGGGTCGGTTGCCGGGGTCGGTTGCCGGGGTCGGTTGCCGGGGTTTGGTTGCCGGGGTCGGTTGCCGGGGTCGGTTGCCGGGGTCGGTTGCCGGGGTTTGGTTGCCGGGGTTGGGTTGCCGGGGTTGGTTGCCGGGGTCGGTTGCCGGGGTCGGTTGCCGGGGTCGGTTGCCGGGGTCGGTTGCCGGGGTCGGTTTCCGGGGTTTGGTTGCCGGGGTTGGTTGCCGGGGTTGGTTGCCGAGGTTGGTTGCCGGGGTTGGTTGCCGGGGTTGGTTGCTGGGGTCGGTTGCCGGGGTCGGTTGCCGGGGTCGTTTGCCGGGGTTGGTTGCCGGGGATGGTTGCCGGGGTTGGTTGCTACGTGTTGGTTGTTAGGTTGGTTGCTGCGGTTGGTTGCTGGGGTTGGTTGCTATGGTTGGTTGCTAGGTTGGTTGCTATGGCTGGTTGCTGCGGTTGGCGGCGCCTGTCCACACCTGTGGAACAACAACCACAACCACATTAACAACCATAACAACAAAAACCACAACAACCACATTCACAACCACCACATTAATAACCACAACAACAAAAAGCACAACAACAACCACAACAACAGCCACAACAACAACCGCCATTCGCCACTAAGTGGCGGTGACGTCACCACGACGCTTGTGCCAGGCCATGTGCACCTTGAGGCCACGTGAAGTGTCAAACGCCCGCTGGCAGGAGGTCACGGGGCAGACCCAGGTGCCACGGGTCGACTGACTGAGATGACTGGCTGGTGCACCACCTGTGCCCCCTACTGTGCCAACCTGCTGTGCTTTAACCACCCGGCGCTCCGCTCATTGTTGTGAGCGTCGCTCCTCCGCCCTCCGTTGTTGTTGGAGGTCGACTGCCTCCAACTGCCCAGTAGCGTCCTTCACGAGCCTCCTCCACAGAGGCCGATCTTGACACCGCTGGTACCGGTCATCGGCAAGTCCACTCAGCTCCACGTCCTCCTGTACCACATCACTCCATCTCTTCTCTAGCCCGTGCCGCGCCCGTTTAGCCCCCTCGATCCGGCCGAACAAAAGCTGTTTCGGCATGCGGTGGCTGGGCATGCGGGCTACATGACCCAGCCAACGCAGCCTTGCCTGCCGGAGGAGCTCACCGATGGGACGTTGCCCAGATCTTTCAAGGATGTGTGAGCTCCTCACACAATCCAGTCTGGTTAAACCCAGGATGGATCGTAGGCAGGCCAGCCTAAATGTTTCTAACCGGCGAATATGTTCCATTAGGGGGGTCCACGTTTCGCAAGCGTAGAGAAGGGAGGGAATGACCGTGCCCGAGAAGACCTGAAGCTTAGTGCGGAGCAACAGACCAGGTAGCTTCCACACAGCGTTACGCAACCGATGAAAAGATATTGCCGCTCGATTAATTCGGAGTGAGACTTCTGTTGTTAAACTGGAGCCGGTCATAAGCACACTGCCCAGGTATGGGAAACTCTCCACTCTCTCCACAACTGCCCCATCACCGATTGGGAGTTGTGGGGGTGGAGTGTCCGATGGTACAAAATACCCAGGCAGATGCTTAGTTTTGGTGGGGCTTATGGTAAGGCCCCATCTCTTAGTGGCACACTCCAGTTTCAGCAGCAGCGTCTACAACTCCTCCACTGAATGAGCAGCTATTACCAAATCATCGGCATACATAACGTGGTTGAGCAATAGGGAGCCATCCCTTGACCGCACCCGGACATCGATCAGCCTCCCATAATATCTGTACCATATGGAGATTCCCCCGGTACAGCTATTGAAGGCTTCACGAACTACGTGGTCAAAATAGATGTTAAATAATGTGGGAGCCAGAGGACATCCCTGTCGCACCCCAAGGTGTACAGGGAATGGCTCTGACTCCCGGCCACCTGGTTTTACCTGGGCCCGCTCACCATCATGAAGGTCCTTAATGATCGTGAGCAGAGGGTCAGGTACTCCAAAAGCACGAAGAACACACACACCTACACACACCTACACATACACCTGCATACAACAACAACCGCCATTGGCCACTAAGTAGCGGTGACGTCACCACGACGCTTGTGCCAGGACATGTGCACCTTGAGGCCACGTGGAGTGTCGAACGCCTGCTGGCAGGAGGTCACGGGGCAGACCCAGGTGCCATGGGTCGACTGACTGAGATGACTGGCTGATGCACCACCTGTGCCCCTTACTGTGCCAACCTGCTGTGCTTTAGCCACCCGGCGCTCCGCTTGTTGTTGTGAGCGTCGCTCCTCCACCCTCTGTTGTTGTTGGAGGGCGACTACTTCCAACTACCCAGTAGCGTCCTTCACGAGCCTCCTCCACAGAGGCCGATCTTGACACCGCTGGTACCAGTCATCGGCAAGTCCACTCAGCTCCACGTCCTCCTGTACCACATCACTCCATCACTTCTCTAGCCCGTGCCGCGCCCGCTTAGCCCCCTCGGTCCGGCCGAACAAAAGCTGTTTCGGCATGCGGTGGCTGGGCATGCGTGCTACATTACCCAGCCATCGCAGCCTTGCCCGCCGGAGGAGCTCACCGATGGGACCTTGCCCAAATCTTTCAAGGATTTGTGAGCTGCTCACACAATCCAGTCTGGTTAAACCCAGGATGGATCGTAGGCAGGCCAGCCTAAATGTTTCTAACCGGCGAAGATGTTCCATTAGGGGGGTCCATGTTTCGCAAGCCTAGAGAAGGGAGCGAATGACCGTGGCCGAGAAGACCTGAAGTTTAGTGCGGAGCAACAGACCAGGTAGCTTCCACACAGCGTTACGCAACCGATGAAAAGACATTGCCGCTCGACTGTTTCGGAGTGAGACCTCTGCTGTTAAACTGGAGCCGATCATAAGCACATTTCCCAGGTATGGGAAACTCTCCACTCTCTCCACAAGTGCCCCATCACCGATTGGGTGTTGTGGGGGTGGAGTGTCCGATGGTACAAAATACCCAGGCAGGTGCTTAGTTTAGGTGGGGCTGATGGTAAGGCCCCATCTCTTAGTGGCACGCTCCAGTCTCAGCAGCAGCGTCTCCAACTCCTCCTCTGAATGAGCAGCTATTACCAAATCATCAGCATACATAACGTGGTTGAGCAATAGGGAGCCATCCCTTGACCGCACCCAGGCATCGATCAGCCTCCCATTATATCTGTACCATATGGAGATTCCCCCGGTACAGCTATTGAAGGCTTCACGAACTACGTGGTCGAAATAGATGTTAAATAATGTGGGAGCCAGAGGACATCCCTGTCGCACCCCAAGGTGTACAGGGAAAGGCTTGGACTCCCAGCCACGTAGTTTTACCCGGGCCCGCTCACCATCATGAAGGTGCTTAATGATCGTCAGCAGAGGGTCAGGTACTCCAAAAGCACGAAGAACAACCCAGAGCCCAGGCCTATTGATGGTATCATAGGCCTTGACCAGGTCAATAAAGCAGATATTGCTGGAATTCCCTACACCTCTGCTGTAGCAGACGGACAGAAAACATGGCATCTGTGCAGGACCGCCCTTTTCTACACACTCACCTACACACACACTCACCTACATACACACACACACTCACCTACACACACACACACACAGACCTACACACCTACAAACTTACCTACACACACACACACTCACCTACACACACCTACACACACACACCTACACACACACGGATGCGCAAACTCTACTTATTAACCTTCACGCCAGTGTTAATATAGTCAGCGAGTTGTCTGTGGGTCTCTGTGTGAGTCTGTGGGTCTCTGTGTGAGTCTGTGGGTCTCTGTGCGAGTCTGTGGGTCACTGTGTGAGTCTGTGGGTCTCTGTGTGAGTCTGTGGGTCTCTGTGCGAGTCTGTGGGTCTGTGTGAGTCTGTGGGTCTCTGTGCGAGTCTGTGGGTCTCTGTGCGAGTCTGTGGGTCTCTGTGCGCGTCTGTGGGTCTCTGTGCGAGTCTGTGGGTCTCTGTGCGAGTCTGTGGGTCTCTGCGTGAGTCTGTGGGTCACTGTGCGAGTCTGTGGGTCTCTGTGCGAGTCTGTGGGTCTCTGTGTGATGAGTCTGTGGGTCTCTGTGTGATGAGTCTGTGAGTCTCTGTGTGAGTCTGTGGGTCTCTGTGTGAGTCTGTGGGTCTCTGTGTGAGTCTGTGGGTCTCTGTGCGAGTCTGTGGGTCTCTGTGTGAATCTATGGGTCTGTGTGAAGCTACGGGTCTCTGTGCGAGTCTGTGGGTCTCTGTATGAGTCTGTGGGTCTCTGTGTGAATCTATGGGTCTCTGTGTGAAGCTACGGGTCTCTGTGTGAGTCTATGGGTCTCTGTG